ATTAATTTAAATTCAAAAGTTATTAGAAAATGGTCAGACAGAAGGGGGTTATGGGGAAAAACTATTAAGTGTTCAGTTTCAATGCCATATGTCAGAACAAGATACAGAGTGTGATTAAAACAGTGAGTGGGTTTATTTAGTTTGAGAGAAGCCAACTGAGTCTAATAATGAACAGAATGCATTGTTGAGGCTGTCATTGTCAGCATCTACATGAATATTAAAGTCGCCTACTATGATTATTTTATCTGTACTAAGCACTAAATCAGACAGAAAGTCTGAGAATTCACTTAAAAACTCTGAATAAGGAGCAGGTGGACGGTATACAATAACAAACAGAACAGGCTTTTGAGTTTTCCAGTTTGGGTGTGAGAGACTCAGGGTGAGACTTTCAAATGAGTTATAACTATGTTTAGGTCTAGGGTTGATTAATAGGCTTGAGTCAAAGATCGCTGCCACGCCACCACCTCGGCCTGTGTTTCGAGGGATGTGACATATATAATAAACAATGGTGTTAACGTTGTGTTTTTGTGTATGAAACCAGACAAACTGCGCCACACGATGTCATTCTGACTGTTATTAAACAGTGACTTCTCACTCGTTCAGGTTCTGATTGTCTGACCTCAACTGAACACGGTCATCATGTTTACCTTGTGCAAGTGTGACAAAGTCCAGTAAGAACAATTGTAGGCATCTTTTCATTTGTAGATTTTGAAAACAGAAACAAAAACAGCACTTGCAGATGCGTTAGATTTCCTGCGGAGCTGTTGTAAAAGTTCCCCCAGGTTTCAGCATTTAGCCACAGATTGGTCCACTTAACTAAGAGACAGACTGAGACATGACATTCAATATATACAAAGTCAGATCGCTACTTAATACTCCAGTTTGGTTGTTAATATTTTTTGTTTTTCCCATTATCACAGTACAAAATTACAAAGCTTAATGTGGCAAACTTGTTTGTAAATGAGCTGGGTGACTTTGCTGGAGGGTTGGTTAATGCTTATTTCTTTTCTTCTGTGTGCACATGCATTGGTGGCCAACAGGTAGAACAGGTGAGCCAGCTGTCAGCACTGATCGAGGCGGCCTTAGAGTACCACCGGCAGTCATGTGAAATCCTGGAGGAGCTCAGCAGAAAGCTGCAGAAGAGGTAGGGAAGCTGATCTGCTGCACTTGAGGCCACACTTCACTTGGCTCTCAGTAATTACTTTGCAGCATTCACCCTCTGTGGGAAAATCAGTTTCTGTTGTTCAAAAATGAAATTCACTCACTCACACAGTGGTTATGAGACTGAAAGCACACTGATGAACGGGAGCTGCTCGTATATCCAACTTGTCTTATGCTAGAAAGAGTGCGCTTACAGGTTCATGTCATGTGTTCTTTGTCTCTTGGAGGAGTAATGGAGGCTTGCTGGCATCAGTACTGATATCATCTGTGTGGTTTTGTGGAGGTCTGGTCCAAAAGCAACAAGGTCTAGTGCCTGATATCAGCCGAAATGTGTTTCAGCACCAGTAACCAGAGGATGTATTTTTCCTATAACTATACTCCAGACTTTAAAGTGTAAATGTGATTCTTTTTTCTCCCTGTAAATATTATTTTTCTGTTATTTTTAAGAAATTTGTCAGATGTCAATTATTTTTTAACATGATTACACACGTTTTCTCAATACTGACTTCACTTTTTCAAAACAGTCAGTACAGTTGCACTTCAGTGCTTTGACACATAATCCATTCAATGACCACATCTTTCAAATCTGATGAATTGTTTTCACACTCAGACTCAAACACCAACAAAATTCTCTACTGTATGTGCATATATGTGTATGTATATGCTGTATATGTATGAACTGGGTTGTGAAAAGGCTGTGAGAACTAATTACAGTAGTAAATTTCCTATGTGATCACATTCTGCACGTTCTCCCTTGAAACAGGCAGTTTATTTGCTCTACAGCTTGGGTTCCCTAACCTTTTCAGCTCGAGACCCAAAAGAGAAATTCTGGTCTCTCCTAAGGAACCAAAGTTAGAATAAATTGCCACACCATCTATATTTATAAGCTACTGATAATGAACACAAAACCCCCTGAATTCAAAGTGTATATGAGATGTATTTCTTTCATTATAAAAGTACATCACAGCAATAATGAAATTGCTGAGAGTAATGTGAAAGTTCTCACCACTTCATAATGAACGTGTATCAAACAAACATCACTGGGACTGTCCAACAGCAGCATCAAATACCATTTTATTCTCTTCTCAGTGAATAGTCCACCCTTCAAATAGGCAGATACGTGTGTTATGCAGCATATCTGCCACTTATTTTATTTTATTTTAGATGGTGCAACAATAAATTTGAAGAGTAGTCCAGTCTGATCATATGTATGGACATACAGAGATCTATTTTACTTCAGTCACACAATAACATTCAGTAGTAGTGGGTCTGTGCAGGTTCCTTCCTGCTCCAAAACCCCTCATGAACCACTGGAGATTCCCAGAACCACATAAATGAAACATGGAACATAGTGCTGATTCTGTAAATCAGTGATCGGTGTTAAAGAACAGTTGTTTTCTTTCTCCTCTTATCCCAGGGTATCCGCTACCAGCAGTCGGCCCAAGAGAGAGTTCAAACCGAAGTCCATAAGGAGCAGCATTGAGGCCCCAGACAACAGTCAGCACAACGGCCTGTCATACAGCTCCTCACTCAAATCCACAGGTAGCAGATGCTGCGTGTGTCTAATGTTGCTTTCGTCAATGAAAATTATGACGAAATATCGTTGTCAATGAACCTTTATGACGTGACGAAAACAAGATGAGACGCAACGTAAATGCTGGTCAAGTGACGATGACTATAATTAAATGTATAATGGAATATTGTTGATGAAAAAAACGAGACTAAATGTAGTTTACAAAATAAAAACTTTGCTAAAATGTCTCTTCATTTTCGTTGACCAAAACGAGACGAAATGAAATGTTATAACATTATTTCGTCTTCTTTAGTCGCATTATTATTATTTTGTAGTATTTTTGTTGCTTGTGTCTCACTTCAGGGGCTGCATCAGGTCGCACTGCGCAGACGCAGGCGACGTCACTTCCTTAAGCCCCACTCGCGGCATTATTTAGAAGACGACAAGAAACAAAGTTAAGTCTGACACAGAGAAAGGGATCAATGACCGGCCAGCTGGGGTTCGTCTTTGGGAGAACAAGAAGAAACGACATTTGGAAAAACTTTCATTACATAGAAGTAGAAAAGAAAACGAAGTGTGTTGTGGAAAAAGATGGGGAGAAATGCGGCCACAATCACACAAAATGTGTATTAGATGTATTTTTGAGTCTATAAGGTGACAATAATATAATAAGATGACCTTGTTTGAAATGGGTTTGGCTAAAAGAAAATTTTGGTTTCATCTATACTACTAGGTACTTAAACTATATTGACTGGGTTAAATAGAATTGCATTACTAAAAAGAGAGTAAAATACAATTTTCGTTGACTAAAACTAGACTAAATATCATCAGTTTAGACTAAAAATTAAATTAAAACAGGCCGCCAAAAACAACTGTACGTGTGTCTCTTTGGGTTTTTACTTTATTTTCCATAATTTTCTCTGTCGGTTCCACTGTCATTGCATGCTTTGAGTTGTAGTGTGTACCTTTTCCTGTTATTCCCTACAAATATTCCAATCAGCCACACAGTCAGTGGGAAAAGTAGATATTCCTTTATATAGTATTTAGGTGGAAGACTTTCATCCTTTTCTTGAGGGGCTGGCTCGGGACAGTGGGTTAACTGCTGCCTAATGTATGTAAATGGGAAGGACAAGAAATGGAGACATCACTGAATATAATGCAGCCCAATACACCGCCACCTAACTATGACCTCAGCACTGAACATATCAGTGAATCCATACAGTTTCTGTTACTTTCACCCACACCTGAAACATTTTGAGCTTCATAAAGACAGATACTACAGCAGAGCTGTTTCACTGGATTGGGATTGCATTCAGCTGTACAGGTGTATGCAGTCCTCAGTGAGTGGACCTACACTATTTGTCCATGGCAGTGTCTGAAAAGCGCATTGCCCCCCTGTAGTGGCTGAAGTCAGACACAACTAGTGGACATGCAGTCTGCAGTGGTAGATAACCAGGGCGCATTTCTTCATCACTGAGTGTGTACATTGTTTTGTGTTGTCTTGTGCTCATCACTATCTCCATTTGTCTTTACATCTCACCCAGCTGATCATATAGCCTCTGTCCCACTGTCATGGCCTGAGAACTCCATTACCAATGTCAGTATTCAGCGTGAGTAACACACACTGGTGCAGCATTCACATGTGTGTTGCAGTCCTGAAATGATTCATCAACACGGGATTAACAATTGGGATAATCAGTTAGTTTTGCAAGCAAAAATACAGCTGGTTTCAACTTGTCTAATGAGAGGAGGACCTCTGAGGTTTGGATTGTCACTCAGGTCATACATACAATTTAAAATGAAAAACCTGTTAGACATGACTCAGCATTTGTGCAAGCTCCAACCACTCAAGATTCACTTGTTTGTTTTTTTTGTACTTTCAGCCTATTTATTTATTTAACCTTAATTTTACCAGGCAAAAACCCCATTAAGATTAAAAACCTCTTTTTAAAGGGGGACCTGACCAAGAAACGGCACTTACATAAAATTGCTACAAAACAGCTAAAAACATAAGTCACATACACATCATTTAAAGTTACACAAGCAGCTTGAATAAGAAGCAGACACCATTGACTGAGCCATGGTCTTCAATTCTGTGAGAGAAACCAGCTTAGCTATTTTAAATTCTTTCTGCAAAATGTTCCAAGTATTCGGAGCAGCAGATGAGAAGGCCTTCTTTCTCAGCTCTGTTCTTACAGAGTTGATGTATTTGTTGTGATCTCAGATTGCAGCCTGACAGAGTTTTGAACAATCATTGTACAAAGATGCAAAAGTAGCTTGCCTATAATGGCTTTATAAATAAATACATACCAATTGTCATATGGCAAGAGAAGGCCACCCTGCTTTATAGTACAGAGCCCAATGATGGGTCAGATAGTTTTAAATTTGTGATAAACCTTAAAAAGTGAAGTCAAATGCTGGTTCATTCATTTATACCAAATCACCATAATCAAGATTCTGGAGAGAAGTGGCAAATACTAGCTTTTATCTGGCTTCCAAAGAAAAATGTCTAAAATAGAATCCCAACGTCTTGACCAGTTTTTTAATATGAAACTTAAATGAAAGGCAGTCATCTATTCATATACCTAAATATTTGAAGGACACATGTTTAATTACCCCCCTCTCAAATGACACAATAATGATCAAATCAGCAAATCTTTTCTTCCGTTTGTGACATGTAGCACCTTTGTTTTATCTGCATTCAATTTAGGCTTTAATTTAATTAGTAGGTATTGTAAGATGTCAAAGCCAGACTGAAGCTTGGTTAGTGCTGTTAGTTAATGTTGTAGCGCAACTGTAAAAACACTGTATCGTCTGCATAACAGTGCATGTAAACACCATCTGCATTTACTCCCAAATCAGTCATATAAAGACAAAACAATAACAGGCCAAGCACAGATCCTTGCGGTACCGTTAGTTAAAATGAACCATTTGGAACAAATTCCATTTACTCTCACACACCGAGTTCTTTTTAACAGATAGTTTAAAAACCATCCTACTTCATATTCATTCAAGCCTAAATTGAGCAGCTTCATCTCCATATATACATTAAAAGACGCTGTGTATTCTATATGTATATATAACAAATAACAGATTTTTTTGTGTATATAGTTTATACTGACAGTAAGAGTTTGCTCTTTTAGTGTCTAAGTACCTCAGTAACATATGATGTAGGAAATAAGCCTCCTGTCACAAACGCACAGGAGGGAAATCATCTGTCAGTCATTTTCTGATGTCTCCCTGTGTTTGGGTGCAGAATCGGAGGTGTTGGATCAGCCGTGCTGTCGCGCCCTCTATGAGTTTGAGCCAGAGAATGAGGGCGAGCTAGGCTTCAAAGAGGGCGACATCATCATCCTCACTAACCAGATAGATGAGAACTGGTACGAGGGCATGATTAATGGTGAATCTGGCTTCTTCCCCATCAACTACGTGGAGGTGATTGTCCCCCTGCCGCAGTGAAGGCCAGCATTTCCGGCTCTCCACAGAACTCCTCTTGCCACATCATATTCAGCCCTGAGCTCAGCTCAGGCTGGAAAATACATGGGGCCAGATCAGCGTCAAGCTGAAAAAAATTATCTTCTCATCTTAAAACTGAGTCAGGGAGGTAGTTGTTTTGTCCCAAACCAACTTTGGATCAAATGTTGCTGATTTGTTTTCTGCTGATCTTTAACAAGCTCTAAAGTCAAGTGAAACCCAACCCATTAAGTGGGACCTCTGTCTTGCTGGACCCTTTGTGTCCTTTGGGTCTGACCAAGGTGTGTCAAGCAGTCATCAAACTCCGTCATCCATCCTGCCAGCCCTTCAGATGACGCTGCCCCCTTTGTATCCTGATAGAGGTTGATGTCATTGAATTGTCTGCCTGTTTTGGTCCTCTCATGACAAGCTGAGGCTCCTTACCCCAGCTTGAAGTTCACCACTAGATTGTTAGACCACTACAAGCAAGTGATAAACTCTTACTTGCATTATAGTCATATTAGAAACATTACATATATTTCAGGGCATTTTCAGTCCTGTTTGATTGTCACAGTTGTTGTGCATATTGTACAGCATGTCACAGAGTCTGTACTTGCAAGCAGTGTTAAAATTTTAATCCCCGGGCGGCGTGTCACAGAATAATAACCACCTTTTATTTGGCCAAGTATGTTACACACAAGGAATTTGTTTCCAGTACAGAACCGAGGCAGCCATCTGCGGTGCCAACTCAACCGATGGTTCTAACCATCGGGGGCAACTTGGGGGTTCAGTGTCTTGCCCAAGGACACTTCGACATGTGGACTGCAGGTACCGCATTTCAAACCTCCGGTTGGGAGACAACTACTCTATCCACTGAACCACAGTCAGCCCAACACAACACTTCATCAGAACGTCACTCATCTCCACCCACAACCTGGCATGCCACCTCTCCCCTTTCACACAGAGGTCAAGGAGGAACTGTTGTGCCAGTTTTACTACTCAAAAATACATCATGGTGTGGCAGAGAATTGGTACAATAATCTCACCTTGAACGAACAGTGTAAAAGGGGCTACAGTTAGAGACAAACAGCTGAACATAGTGGATCATTTAGCAGCTAAACAGACAGATATTAGCCTCAGAAGCTGGTAGGGACCAAAGCAGAGCTAAAAGGAAAGTGGGTGTTGGGTGGCCAGACACATGGCTCAGAATGAATGCTAAATCGCTGTTCCTGCTAGATGCATAAATAAGCAGCTGCTTGCTAACAGCAAGGACAGAATGTCTTACCAGGTGTGTGATGTTGAGCTGGTTGTGTAGTTCTGCCCCCAGGTGGCCGGATTTTAACTGAATAATGCTACCTTGAATGTACTCCCAGGTTAGCCAAAGGTATTTCTGGAAGATGAAATGAAGGCAGAAGGAAAGATTACTGCCCAACCTGTCAGTTGTAAACATCTGTCAGAGACAGACTTACCTTACTTGCCGTCGTCCTGCACATACTTCCTTTCCTGTGCGCTTCAGGTGAGCGCACTTTCAGCTGCACTTCCAAATAATGTGGATCAACTGTCAGCTTGTTTACAACCTGTCTGTTCGTCTGACAGCTCCTGTTTTGTGACACTGCCACGTTCCCAGATATCTGAAATTACTTTGTTGAATCAGTGTTGTCATAACTTGTAATGTTGAGGACCAAAGTTATGAAAATAACACCCATGTTGTTAGTAACCAGAATTATTAAACATTTGAAAGAACTGTGGAGTTTCACTGTAACTCAGTACTCAAAATGGCAAAGCCCCAGTGTCAGTGAATGAAAATAATATTGCCATTAAAAAGAGAGTATTTTCAGCAGAGCTGTGAGCATGGCATGACTGCCGTGTTACTGCTGTGGAACTGTGAATTTACCACACGAGTGATCATAGTACCAGCACTCAGCCCACCTCAGTGCTGGCTCCATTAATTTGTGACCAGCCTTGATTTATTCAACCATTATTTGAATGTGAGCTTTTATTTGTGACTTTACAGTAATACAAAAAGGTTCTCATGGTAAATCCACAGACCTTTTTCCATCCAGACCAGTGTGCAGTTTCTTAGTTTTGTTTTATCCACAAAGGAAAGATGTAACTTGGTTTGGGTGTTTATTCCGATATTCACTCTTTGAACGACAGTACATGTTTGGCTCCATTGTATATTGTATGAGGACAAAGTCTACTTAATATTTGATAAAAAGTAAATAAACTGTATTGGTTACTTACTGTTAGCTTGCAGTTGCTTAGCTGTTCAACATGTTGCAGGATGATTATTTTTCCTCAAGATTTTATCATGGATTTTGGATACTAGGGAGCTCGTAGCATAGGGTGCTGTCTGCAGCATGGTCACAATACATCACAGGGCGTCGTGTCCGTCACATGGTTCAAGCTCACGTTCAGTCTTCAGGAAACAGTCAACTTGGTTTGAGAAGTTGTTGTGTAAATGTAGTAGTCATGGGACAAATGGAGCCATCCTTCCAAAGCATTTTACTTTGTTCACCAATTTAAGATTGAATGCAAGATCAGCCTGTTTCAGGCTGTTACTTTTTGCAGTTAGCCCCACAGTGTGAATGACTTGGTGATACACTAAAACAAGCTCTCTGTCAACACTGTACCTCTGTCTGACTTTGTCCACAGCAGTCTGTCCTCAGTATTCATTTTACAACCAACTTCTAGGCAAAGGAAACTGGCTGTGCAGTTCTGTGTTTTATTTTTTCAGTAGCATAATTTATGCAAAAGCTGTTTTATAGATGTTGTAAATGAATATATTCATAAATATATTGTGTAAATAAATAGATGAGAAATACTATGACCTACTCTTGTGTACTTTTGTTATGTGGCTTTCCATGATTTGGCCCAAGCCCCATGTTTGCAGTGAAGGGGAAATCTTAATGTTACAGCACACAGTGGAATTTTAGAAACTAATGTGCTTTTTTGTGTCAGCAGTTTGTCTTTGCCCCTGTGCACAAAGCCAGCTCCACAAGGAAGTGGTTCCAGAACATGACTGACCTCCACCCCATCCAACACCTCTGGGATGAACTGGAACATGGTCTGTAAGCCAGACGTCATCACCAGCACTGGACCTCACTAATGCTTCTGTGGCTGACTGGGAGCAAATCCCTGCAGCCAGGATCAACATCTGGTGGAAAGACTGAAACCACCACAGCAGATTAATGCCCATGGATTTGGGATGGCGTGGTGATGTATGTGATGTCCACATATATAATTTAGTGGTTAGGCAGAAAATTGGTTTTGAGACTGTGGAGGAACATTTTACGAAGCAAAATTCTCTTACACTGAACTATACCTTTTTTCTCAAATGTTTGCCTATTTCTTGGTGTAATTTAATGAATCAGTCACAATTTCACTATGCAACCTCCAGTAACCTGGACAGGTCGCCAGTCTGTCACAGGGCTGCCATGTAAACAAACAACCACACACCAAGTACATTCGTTTCCTGTATTCAACTAAAGAAGACAAGTTGACAGAACTTTCTCAGTTTGTAATGAATCAGTTTAAGATTCTAATTTATCAGAGCTCACTCACTTTTGTCGAAGTAACAGACAAATTTGATTTGTTGGCACAAATTGATTATTTCCTTAAATTACTGATCATTTAAGTTTCTAAGTCATACCAACTTGTAACTTATTTACGGCTACTGCAGTAGCATACATTCTCTTATTATATTCGTATATATTTTTATAGCTCTTCATTTGCTACTTTTAAGTGCCTTAGATTTTGTATTACTTATTTATCTACTTTATATTTAATTTGCATTATGTGGCATTCATGTGGACGGCAAAGTAAGAGTTTCATTGTAGAGAGAAACACGTTTCCATACTGTGCATATGACAAACACTGACTTATTTATGCCAGTGAATATAATTAGCAGTTTTTACAGTGTATTTATTGGCAAGAGCATTTTGATTCCTCCATTCTTTTGTGATTTTACAAATTCCCTATTGGATTAATGAAGCATTCTATCCTCCAGAATACGGTATGTAGGGGGTTTGGTATTAAAGATAGATGCTGAAGTATTTTTTAACTGGACTGAATCTCCAACACCCTATATGCCAGTGAAGGAGAGCTCACAGGCAACTTCAGAGGTCACTAAGCTCTGAAAGCATTCATAACTCCAACTGTTAGTGTTCCTCAAAATATTAGTTATACAATAAAAATATTGCATTATAATCTGTAGCATGCTGTGTGTCTGGTTTACACACTGGGAGGCAACGGACATTTCAACAGAAAGGAGATAATCAAAGATGCACAACGTCCACACAGTACCACACCCAGAAAAGAGGGACACAGAGAAGCCTCGGCAGAGTGAGCCACGTACAGGTGGTGTTGATATGGATGTCACAGTAATGCTGACGTAGGCCTAAATGCAGCCAAACTCTTTTATAAGTTTAGTTTACACTGTTGATAGTTTAGGTTTAATGAACACAAATGGCAAATTTCCCATCCACTGTTATTTTGCATTACACTGATCAGATGTGTTCATTAATAATTTCCTAATAGCTTCATTTTTTTTATAAATAGGTTTTAGTTATATTACATAATTATATATATACCTATATGCCTAGACCTAATGCATTGTTTCCACCATTACATTCTTACTTATGGTGTTTGTAAATCCCATTATAAGCTGGAGCATTTTTTCCCAGATTAGTATGAACTCAGTAAATCCAGCAGGACTCGGCCTCACTATTTGGGCTATTTATAGGCTAGAATGGTGTGGACCCACCAACTCCTGCCTCCACACTAACCATAAACCTGAATCAACACACTGAAAAAGTTTGAGAAGGCCAAACATTATAATCTTAATGAAAGCAGGATTTACTCTACGACAGCTGGATGTGACTACATTAGTTAGACGACCTCACAAGTCTGGTACCTGAGTGTACCACTCCCTTATCAGGGCTGTCCACAGAGATTCTAGGGGGCAGGTGTTCAAGCTTAGAAAAAGGACACCCCTCTCACTGAGTTATCTATAAAAAGTTACCTACAGCATCTATTATGTAAATATTTACATACAGTAGTAGTTACATTTAGTCGTACTCTGATGCAGATGGGTTAATACACATTTCTAAAAGTGATCCGTTCACACAGAGACTGGTCTTAACTATTTAGTCTTCACTACAAGTAAAACTGCTTGGTGACAGTCATTACATTACAAATTAAACCCCATCAGACTGTAACTGTCAGTGGCTAAGCTACATGTGATCAACCTTAGAGCTACGTTTCCTGCAGATTTTAATAGACTGTCATTTGGCAATGTTCTAATAATATTTTAAGTATAGATTACTGCAAGTACTGTAATGTAGGCTGAACTTCAGAAAGGTTAGTTCAGCTATATCCTTCCATCTATCCACAGCTATACCATTTATCCAGAATAGGGTTGCGGGCGGCTAGAGCCAATCCTAGCTGACACTGGGGGAGAGGCGGGGGTCCACTCTGGACAGGTCTATGCCTGTGATCACTAAACCACTTTGTGGTATTAAAATAAAATCTAGGCCTATGATGAGATTTGAGACAAAATATAAGCATAAATACAATCAGATTAGAGAGTCAATGTTAGAGAGTCTGGGAGACTATTGGTATTTCTTTCAGACTTGAACTTTCAAATGTGAGTTTGTAGGACTATGATAATGAAATAAAAATGAGTTGACTTGCCTACAATTCCCAGTGGAGTTTGGGTCACAGGAGTAAGAATACTGTAGATCATTTACTAGGCTACAGCATAAAACTTTTGCTCCATTCATTATGAGACATGTAAACATTGTAAGAATCACATACTGTAGTTTCCCAGAAGAAATGTTCAGGCTGTGAATAATACACAGTCCTCTGTGAACAGTTTTCATTGCTTTGTGCTGGAGAAACAGCACCTTGTCATTCTTCTGAAGGCATGGTCTGCATGTAGATTATCTTGGTTAATAGAACCTATTTTTGTCATTTGGCTGAACCAGTCCTATTAATTTTGTTTCAGACCTGTTGTATTCCAGAGTGCGATCTTGGAAAAAGGCATCAACATGCTTCATGGTTGTAGACTATATCCAGACCTCAGCACTCCTCTGCTTGGATGCTCTGACTTCCCTCTTACTCTTCAGTGGCTCCCTCTCTCCTTGTGGGCAGACTTGTTTCTTTCCTTGCTCCAGTCTACTTTCTCTGACCCCCTGAGGCTCCCACATCTTGTCACAGTTCACAGCACAAGTCCAGTCAGGCTGGTGACCCACCACCAGGTCCAAGGTGGGCAGGGAGCTGGTGCTGGTCACATGCCTAAAGCCTACAGTGGATGTGAAAGAAGGGCTGTCTGGGAGGAAGGTTTCATATCCCCTCCTCATACCTGGACAACCTCTCCAGGATGTGCTGTCTCTCAGCCTCACCACCTGCCGAATCTTTTTCCAGCCTAGATGGTTGAGCTCCAGCAGGTTGAGAAGGATACAGAAAACCCCCACGCAAAACATGAAGAGTAAGAAGATGGTCTTCTCTGTAGGCCGGGAGACATAGCAGTCCACCGGCTGGCTGCAGGGGGCTGAGGTGCAAAGAAAATGGACAGGCACCTGGAAGCCAAATAGCTTCCACTGGGCCAGGACAAAGCCCAACTCCAGAACAGCACGTAAACACACATGAAAGATGTAACATTTAGACAGAACCCCTCCGGGCATCGCGTGACCCTCTGCACTCCCCTTCCTCAAGGGGTAAGGTCGTGCCTGGGTCAAGGACACTGTGTTGCTGGGATCTCCCCTCTGGAGGTTCTGGGCCGTGATGCCCTCCAGCACATCTGCCAGGCTGTGACCTAGGTGCTTATGGGAGCGAATGGAACAACTGTCTGAGTCACAGCTCTGATCATATGCCTCCTGTCCACCATCTCGCTGCACATCTGGGCCTCCGTCTCCAGAAATATCCCCCAGTCCTTGCCCCAACCTCTGGGTGGTGTTGTGGGGCTGCTTGGACAAGTTGTGCCATGTGTAGATGATGAAGCAGAGGGATGGCGTGGAGACACTGATGATGTGGAATACCCAGAAGCGAGGTTGCGAGATGGGTGCAAATGCATCGTAGCAGACGGTGGAGCATCCTGGCTGCAGCGTGTTGCACACAAACATCTCCTGCTCATCAGTGTACACATCTTCTGTAGCCACAGCTACAATAAGCAGCCGGAAGATGACCATGACAGTGAGCCACAGGCGACCGATCATGGTGGAGTGCTGGTGGACAGCATCCAGGAGACGTTTGAGCAGGGTCCACTCTGTCATGATGGCCTGTGGCTGCCGGCTGCCTCGAGGAGGGACGAACTGCCTGGAGTACAGCAGTCTGCTCTGGACTGATCCACCTCTCTTTCTCGTGAACCTCTGCCCCAATAAACTTGCCAGCACCTCACACCACACAGAAGAAGACCCGAGTTCTTGAATTTTTCCTCAATTTTAGCAGCTACTACTTCAAATCTCTTAGTCAGAAGGTTCTTCTAAACACCTATCCTCCCTGGCTGAAGCCTGCAATAGACTCTCCCTGCCTGGCTGCCTTGAAAGCAGTGGAACCATGGCCAGAGAGAGCCATCCCATCTTCAATAGATAAGGATGTCCACTTGACATGAGTTGCTTGGCACACTCATTTCTCTCTTGTCTTTAGGATCCATTTTAAAACCAAGAGACATCACCCTTCCTCTACTGGAGGACCTGCTGATAGTGCCAACTGATAGCGCATTCTTCGCTGATTACTCTCTGAAAGCTAATGGGTTCTTCCTTTAATGGAGAGGTATATTTTACATTCCAGAAGAGCATCACTCACTCTCATTCTGGACTACACTTGGACACTGTTACACGAAAAAGCAATAAAAGAGCTTGCATTGGGATACATGACTGACCAAGAATAATGAGAGAATAAGGTTTAGACAGGTGAAAATAATGCTGCCCAGAGTCCAACCTACCCTCTGGTGAGATTCAGTCTGCTCCTTTCCAGTCACTTGCCAATCCTCTTATCTGTGTTTTTTAAAAAAGACCCTTGAAAGGTCTGCTAGCATCAAATCATCTGTCCCCCAGATAAAACACTTAGTGACCCCTTTCCTTACTTCAAACAGTCCTGGCAACCCCCATCTGAGTCTCTGTCTGCACACTTTCTATTTATGACATGAACAGAAACATTTGGTGAAGCGTTAGATAAAAATGTCTCATACTTAATGTTCTTCAGGCCTCAGTATGTTTTGAATAAGGTGTTTGTTGGATCAAATGTCAGAAACCCCCATTCCTGTGGTGGAATCAGAGAGTTGCACCCAACAAAATCTAATACTCATATAGGGACAGTGTATGGTTTGGTTTTTAAATTTCTCTCAGATGTTTTTTGTCTTCACACAGCCTCCTTCACTTTGCTTTTGTACAAATGGGTACAATAGTTTGCATGTAAAAGCAAGGGCAGATGGTCCATTTTAACACTGGTAGACATTTTTATCACATGACTAAAAGTTGTATAATTTTGCACAACTCTAAACATGCACATACACAAACTGAAAAACATTTGCTTTATTCAAAATGTATTTTCTTGCTAAAAAACAGGACATTTATCATTCAGACCATTTTTTTATTTAATAGATGTGAATCAGAGGCCAAAGCCAGGACTTAGAACGTTCACATATTACCTGCTTAAAATAAATATGTACCAAAAACAGTGAACATTAGAAAGTGTGCTACTGTTTTAACCAGTCTGCACCACAACAGCTTACCTCTGATTGTGTATTTGTTTCCTTAAGCATGATGCTTTCTTTAAACCATCCAACCAGCTTCCATTTGTTCTTATTTTTCAGTCAACTCATGAACTCACCTTCATCCAAATGGTTAAGCTGTGAGAGCTGGCAGCTTCACCTGCCTGTGTCATGCTGTTGCTACCAGGATATTTCTCATAAAATCATGCATAGCACTGACAAACAACTTAATCAGCTTGTTCTGGCAAAATATGTGTATGATTAAATCCAGTGGTACAGTAATATGACAAAGATGACCACTGTTTGCTAAACTGTTGACACTTTGGTGGCCCCCACACAGTGCCAGCCACAGATAGGACAAGGGGTAGCTTTTCTCCACCATAGTGCGATGGGTCCTGCATATAGATGTTTTTTCCAGCATGTCTGGGACCCTGTGCATTGATGTTCTGCTGCTGTCAAAGGAATTCTCCACCCTCTCAGTCTGTTCATGAAAGAACAGTGATGTACATTTCCCCTGCGCTTTGTCAGAAGCAGCTTGGAAATGAAAAACAGACAGGATTGGAAGGAAAATACAGAAGAGAGTCAGAGAAAGTCCACCATTTTCTCTGTGTGCATGATATATTTTTCACCAGGACCTTTATCTGGGCTGACATGTAGAAAGAGAGAACAGACTATGAATATGAATGGAACGGTTTCCTTTATAACGTATACAGCTGGCTCTGCTCTACTCCTCAGAAAGTCATCTCTGGTAACTACAAAGTTAAATGTATTGCAGGATAAAGATGCTGACTCTGAGGGTTCTGTCTTACTTGCTGTATTTAAGAGGCAGTGGCTCTAAGTGAAATAAATGTAGTGTAAATATGCTTCTGTTTTTTCATTTTGGACCCAAATAAATAAAATAACTGTGTGTGACTGGTACAAAAGCCATCTCACAGCTTCCTTCTTCATTCGCTTTCAGTGAGACAATGTCCAAAGAAAAGTAACAGTAATGACTTTGTGTGTTTTTTCTGTAACCACTGACCTAGTGGTCCACTGACATGGGTTTTTCAATTGCCAATACCGATTTTTTTAAGAGCACAGAGGCTGATGTCCAATATATAGTGACGACATCACATTTTCCCCCCTTTTTGAATCAGATAAAATACTATTTAATGACTAATGAGATGCATTCTTGAAATTAAACATTTAAGCTTAATTAATTATGAAAATTAAAATAAAATGAGCATTGTCTCATTTGCTACAATCTGCACTCACCTTATTATTCTAAAATTTATTTTAAAAATGTTCACAAATAATAATAAAAAACTGTAATAAACTTTTATGGATAAAGGTCTGGTGGTGGTTGACCCAAAATGCACATTTGCACAGAGTGGTGAAAAAAAGGTGTTTATTATGGAAATGGAAAGACAGGGAGCAGACCAGATGGGGGGACCAGACAAAGCACCAGGGGAGATTGGTGCTGGCGACTGGGAAATGGAGGTCCAGGAGACTGGTACCAGTGAGCTGGAACAGGAGGGCTGGCGGTGAAGTGAGGCGAGCTGTCAGTGGACGATGTTGGAGAATGGGAACAGTGAGGTCTGGGCGCAGGCAAGCAGGTGAGAGGACCAGCTGGTGGGCGTGGAGGCAGAATGCAGAGTATCATCACAAATGGTCCAGCGCTGGACTGAGGGAGAGGAGGAGTGTTTATGGCAGGTGAGTCCGGGGGTAACGAGCAACAGGTGAGGTGAGGAATAGTGATAACTAGAGAAATGCATTTGCGTTTGGATGCTAATAAAAGCTGAAAGATCGTCCTGAAAATGCCTGAAATCAATTGCTGAAACAGCTGAAAGTTGAGAAGAAATGGCTGAAGTTCTTTGTTGAATAATTTGAAGGATGACATGCAATAAAGTAGGAATAGCCTTGAAGACCTGAACATTTTGATACCTGAATGGCTTTTGTAGCTGAAACTATGCTGACCTTATAAAGATGTGAAAATTGTCTCATTCGTCCACACACACAAGTAGGTAAAACGAGCAGGTGTGTGTGTGTGAGTGAGAGAGAGAGAGAAGTACCAATTACACCCTGTTTTCTAGTTGAAGGTATGCTGAACTTACAGGTATGTGCCAAAAAAGTAGAATATCAAGGAAAAGTCCATTTATCTCAATAATTTGTTTCAAAAAGTGAAACTTGTATGTTATATTAGTTCACTACACACAAAGTGAAATATTTCAAGCCTTTATTTGTTTCAATTTTGATGATTATGGATTAAAGACAAAAAAAACCCAAATCCAGTATTTCACAAAATTAGAATATCATGACAAAGTTCAACACTGTAGGCTCCCTGTGTCCCAATCTAGTCAGCTAATTAATGCAAAACACCTGCAAAGGTTTCCTCAGCCTTGGAATTGTCTCAGTCTGGCTTAGTAGGCTTCAGAATCATGGGGAAGACTGCTGACTTGACGGTTGTGCAGACGACCATCATTGACACCCTCCATAAGGAGGAAAAGTCTCAAAAGGCAATTGCAAAAGAAGCTGGATGCTCACATTTCAGGGTCTGTGTTCCCTCATCTTCCTCTTGACAATACCCCATAGATTTTCAATGGGGTTTAAGTCAGGTGAGTTTGCCGGCCAATCAAGTATAGTCATTCCATGGCTATTAAACCAGGTACTGGTAGTTTTGGCTGTGTGGGCAGGTGCCAAATCCTGCTGGAAAATAAAATCTTCAGCTCCAAAAAGCTTGTCGGCAGTGGGAAGCATGAAGTGCTCTAAAATTTCCTGGTAGACAGCTGCGTTGACTGTGGACTTGATAAAAAACAGTGGACCCACACCAGCAGATTGCATGGCTCCCCAAACCATCACTGACTGGGGAAACTTCACACTGGCAGTTAAGCACCTTGACTTTTGTGCCTCTCCAGTCTTCCTCCAGACTCTGGGACCTTGATTTCCAAATGAAATGCAGAATATGCTTTCATCTGAAAACAGGACTTGGGACCACTGGGCAATAGACCAGTACTGTTTCTCCTTAGCCAAGCACAGACGCTTCTGA